GTCTCATTATGTGGCTGAGGCTGTCCTTCACCTCACTGTGTAGCTCAGGCTGGCCTCAAACTCATGGTAATCCTCCTGCCTCAGCCTCCTGGGTGCTGGGATTACAGACATGTGCTACCACACCCGGCTACACTAAAGGTTCAGAGATGTGGCTGATTTGCTTTTGTTTGACTATAAAAGAAAATATAAAATCCTTAATTAGACTTACAGTAGGAAGTTTTGTCTGAGCAGCTAAAGTCTTTCCAAACTGGACCACGGGTAGTAGAGAACTCTGTTTACCTTTTCAGGCCAACAGACTGTTGGCTCTTCATCTGCATTTCCTCGTGATTTAGAAAGTGTGGGACCGCAGTCTTGGTTTGTTGTTGTACCCACCTTATTTGGGTAACAGAACTGGTGAGCCTTGAAGACTTTATCTGCATCTTCCCAAGTTCCAGGATGAAGCACTGGAAGAGCTGGGAAGAGCTGGGAAGACTGGTGGATGAAAGGCACTGCTGATAGTAACTCACTGGTTACTTGGGGCAAGAACGTAAGATTTTCCCTTTCTGGTTTCCCCGCACATATAGCTTGTGAAGGGATTACTACCGTCAAGCTGGTGAACATAACCATCAAGCCATGTACTGATAGCAATTCCTCCTTTCCCCTCGTACAATCAGTTTGTGTGTGTGTATGTTTTAGAAACAAGGTTTCACTATGCAGTTCAGACTAGCCTTGAACTCACCTTATAGCCCAGGTTGTCCTTGAATTCACAGTGATCCTCCTGTCTCAGCCTCCCAAGTGCTGAGATTACAGGCGTGCATCAGCATGCCCAGCACAAGAAAAACCATTTTTAAATAAATATTTCTTTTGTGACACACTAATTGTACATATTTATGGTATATGGTATGACATTTCACAGTGTGTGAAGATCAGACTGGGTAATTGGCGCACCTGTCACCTCAAACATTTATCATTACTTTGTGTTGGCAGCGTTCAAATCCAGCTAGCTATTTTGAAATCGTTATTGTGAACTATAGTTTTCCTACCATGCTATTGGACATTAGAAGTTACTTTTCCTTTGGGGCACCCCTACACCCATTAACCATCCTCTCTCCATCCCACCTTCTCCCTGCATCATTTCCAAACCTTCGTAACTGCTACTCTATTGTCTATTTCTGTGTGATTGACTCTTTCACATCCATATGTATTTGAGAACATGTGGTATATGTCTTTCTTTTCCTCACTTACTTCACTTAACAAAGTGTCTTCCTGTTACGTTTTGCTGCAAATGACAGAATTCAATTCTTTTGATGGCTTAATTATATTGTGCACATGTTCCGCATTTTCTTTAGCCTCGGTTGCTTCTATTTCTTGGCTCTTGTGGGCAGCGCTGCAGCAGGCATGCAGATGCAGTTGTTTCTTCAACATACTGCTTAGGGGGCTTGGGGATTTAGCTCAGTGGCAAAACGCCTGCCTGGCAAGCGTAAGGTCGTGAGTTCGATTCCTGGTACCGGAAGAAAAACAAAAACAAACAAACAAACAAACGACATACTGATTAGTATTGGGATTGTTGGCTCCTATGGCAGTTCCAGTGCTAGTTTTTTCAGAAACCACCATCTTGCTTTCCATAATGGTGGTACTAACTCACATTACCACCAACAGTGTAGGATAGTTTTCCTTTCTCCAGATACTCACCAACATTTGTTATTTTTTAGACTTTTTGGTAATAGCCATTTTTAACTGGGATGAGAGAAAAAAGCGCTTTTCTAATACTGGCACAAGGGGTTCTGATTCAGGGATCAACTTGGTCACCTTGAGAATTATCACCAAGCTATGGATACCTTAGCACACACACTCTGGATATTTCCTTTGTAAGCCATGTCCTCGCTGCTGCTTTTAGAACTGCTAAATAAATTATTGCCTGACTTGTAACAATTTCCTGATTTATATGGCATGGGAGGAACACACACTTAGGCATCAGAATGCCCTGAGCATAAATCTTTGTGCTCACATTTACTGTTAACTTGAGTGAATTGTTCAACTTCTCTGGGGCTCTGTTTTTCTCATCTGATCAATGGGAACAATATTGCTCACCTCACAGAGAAGACAAGATTGGTGAGGATGAAATATTTCCCTTGGAAGTAGGAATTAACTTTTTCAAAAAACAAATAAAAAAAAACCTCACATACTATTTCCCAGCACTTGGAGTAGAAACTTTTTTTGTAAGTGAAACTTTTTCTTAATGCCCAGGCAAATATATTTTTGGCCTTGATACAGAGCACTTTCAAAGTCAGTGGTCATTCCAAGCTCCTCCTTAATTCCTTTAGAAAATGCTGAGTTGTGTTGTAAATGCAGGCTTTCCAGAGAGATCCCAGCGGGTAGATAAGGATATGCAGGTGAACTGCAATGCTGGTCCCTTGCCTGATGGGTCCAAGAGCTGGTACAGAGAGTGCAGATCAGGTGTTTGACCCGAAACTACATCTGCTCTTAGGCCAGATTTCACAAGAAGAATCTTGTTGCTCAGAATTTAGCCAGTAATGGATTATTTGGACTGTCTTGTTCAAATTCTTTCCATGTGAAACGAGAACATTACAGAGGCCTGAGAAAAACAATGAGCTGTTATACTTGCATGTACAGTGAGCTCCCTACTGTAAGGTACTCTTTTTTTTTTTTTTTCTGTACTAGGGATCGACCCCCAGGGCTTTGACACTGAGCTAAATCTCCAGCCCCTAGCTCTTTTTACTTTTTTTATTTTGAGGTAAGGTCTTGCTAAGTTTCCTAGGCTGGCCTCAGACTTGCCATCCTCCTGCCTCAGCCTCCTAGAGTGCTGGGATAACAGATGTATACCACCACACCTGGCTCATAAGGGGTTGTCTAAATTGAATCTCAGCAGTATCTGCCCTAATACCCCTGTCCAATGCCATTTTACCATTTAAGAAAAAAAATTCATCCTTCTTCTTTAGGTTGCTTGATTCATTTTAGGTTTTTCTGTTCTTGTCCCATATTATGCTCAGGTGGGTACTTCCTGAAGACATTTGTATATATGACTTGGGTTCTGAGAACCCAAATCAGAAAAGGAATCTGATAGCAGAAAGGGCCGTTTGCACTCTTTGGCTAAAGAAACTGCAGACTAACGGAAGATGCATACCTAAATCACACCAATAAACTTAACTAATAAAAAGAAAGAGGAAGTAAAAAAAAAAATAACTGAAGGCCGTTGGTGAAATTCAGTGTCCTCTCACTGCCTGCTCCACTGGCCCTCTGTAAAGGGAGGCACATTCTATTCTCAGGCCAGGGCAGTCCTGGAAACCAACAGAATAATCCTCCAAAGTCTCACCATGCAACTTTAATCTGAAAAAGCTCTAGAAATCCCCTGGTCCAATCCCCTTTGCTTTATAGAAAAGGAAGCAGGCTCCGAGGGCTTCACATGGTTCCTAGGTTAGTATTTTCTGAATGTTCTTATTAACACATGTTTGTGATACGTAATGATTACACTCGCTGTGGGGAGGTGAAACACATGCATAATGCACCTTAATTCTTTTTTTTAACCTTCTCCCTATTTCTTGATCTCCTTCCGATCTGTAAAAGCTCTACCTCCCTTATGATAGACACTGTGAAATGATAGGAAACCGCTGAAGAGTAAAGGGCAACTGGGATGTGGGAAAAGAGAAGGGAAAGAAGGAGAAATTTTGTATATATGTATATACAGGATAGTTAGCATGGTTATTCTTCTGTCTTCTATTTCTATGCTGAAAGAAACTGTCAATGAGTCTTTGGCTGACCAGTATTGCATGTCTATATCTGTTTTCATGAGAAGCCACTTTGAAGATATCAATACAGAATACAACAAGCATTGTTAATTCCCTACCACTTTGTTTGTAACTCTGTATTGTCTGTACTGTGCTTGTGATGTTGTAAAATGTTGTATGTCTGTTAATGTTTCCCTCCTTTTATCTTTAAAATAAAAAAAAGCTCTACCTCCCTATTTCCTATTATCTTTTATTTTTCTCTTTAAATTATTTATACTTTGAGTTTCTCCTATGAGAAAAACCATGCAATGTTTAACTTGTCTGTCTGATTTATTTCACTTAGCATTATTGTCTCAAGGTGCATCCCGCATGATTTAATTATTGCCTGCAGTGTGTGTACCAGGAGCCATGCATATGCACATAATAGGAGTCTCATAATAGGCCTCCTACAGGCCAAGTTTCCAAATTAGGCTTAGGAAATCTTCTCTAGTGAAGCTGACTGGAAAGTGCCCAATATATGCTAGTTAAAAAGTAAATACTGCTTTCTGTACTTCTTTGGTGCTGGGGTATTCTGCTATATCCTAAGAGTTGCAGTTGAAAGAGGGGTACAAGTGGGAAGAAAAAAAATCCAGGAATCCAAAGAAATGGTCTCCACGCTCAAGGAACTTACAGTCTATAGCAAATTCCAGCTAAAACATGCTAGCTGAAGAAAAAGATAGTACAAATGCATCATTAAGAACATTGAAACAGGGCTGGGGATTTAGCTCAGTGGCAAAAGCGCCTGCCTGGCAAGCGCAAGGTTGTGAGTTCCGTTCCTGGTACTGGAGAAAAACTAAAAAAATAAAAATAAAATAAAATAAAATAAAAGAACATTGAAACAGGGCTGGGGAAATAGCTTAGTGGCACAGTGCCTGCCTGACAAGTGTGAGGTCCTGAATTCAATTCCTAGTGCCAAAAAAAGAATATTGAAACAAACAAGATTGTATATTTAATGGGCTAGTTGTGCAGTCCTAGAGAGGTTGGGGCAAAAGGGAGAGCACAGCAGGCTCCAAGGGGAACAAGCCTGGTGTGTCCCCATTACTACCTTAAAGCCATTACTACCTTAGTTATCTGCAGATCTGATGCTTATGGTATGGGGCAGGGCTGTTACTCAGCTCGTGTTATTGAATCAGTATGTGACTCATTTATTCCAAGAGATAAGGGTAGCTGTGTGTCCCTGTGAGGACCATGTTGTAGGAATGCTCCCATCTAACCTGGATCGTTTGTCTTTTCCAGTGGCCCACCCTCAGGACCCTCACCACCCGTCAGAGAAGCCTGTCATTCACTGCCATAAATGTGGAGAGCCATGCAAGGGCGAAGTGCTTCGGGTCCAGACCAAACATTTCCACATCAAATGCTTCACCTGCAAAGGTACAGTGCCTCCAGCATGCCTGCTTAGTAGCATGTCACAAGCAGTACCTGTCCCTTTGGTGCCTTGCTGGTCCCTGGATGGTAGCAGGAATGCTTTCACAAGCTGTGAGGAATCACTTCGCCCTAGTTTGGGACCTGGTGAAACTCTTGGGGGAAAGACAGGGGCCCTCAGGACTGGTAGTTCCCAGGCCTGTGGGTGCTCAGTGAGGTCCCTGGTCCTGGGAGACTGAGTAAATCTGTGGAAGAACAATGAAAATGGGATTTTGTGTTTTGTGCTTTTTATTTATTTCCCTCTGAAATGAAAGATTCCTACTGCAAAGTAACCTACTGCAAAGCATCCATTCATTAAAGGAGGACTGGGAAACTTGTGATATTGGGTACTAAGTCTCTATCTTTTCTTTTTCTCTGTGTGTGTGCATGTGTGTATGTGTGTGTGCGTGTGTGTTTATGTGTTGAGAAGTGGGAACTGAGAATGCTTTGAAGGTCTCCAGGCAGAAAAACATCTCCCACCCAAGAAGCTATCAGTCTGAGATCAATTTCCATGAACAAGCCCTTGTTCTGGGCTCACAAAGGGCCACATCTCAGCATGAAGTATGCCGGCCCATTACTCCAGAGCCACTGTGTGCCTGACAGGGGAAAAACGGAAAAAGAGAGTGGTTTGTGTGTTTCCTGCAGAAACATGTTTCTTGAGCTGAGGGCACATCTGGGTAGGCCAGGATGCAGATAAGCAAGGTAGGGAGAGACACAAGGAGGGCAAGACTCTGAGCTTGTTTGTAGCTTTACTCTGTCCTCTGCACATGGTCACCACCTATCTCTGGAAACTGGGCTTCATTTTGAGTCGTAGGCTCTGCCATCCCAAGCCTTCCACCCATGACCAGGAGGCTCTCAGATAGACCCCAGGTTACCAACTGACCTTCAAAGATTAATAAGAAAGGAAGGGGAGTTTTTCTAGAGTCTGTGGCTATTTGCTTCAGTGAGTGTAGTAGCTTTCCAGCAAGTAACTTTTCCAGAGAGAGAAAGCATTAGCATCAGAAGCTTAGATGAAAAGGAGGAGGAGGGCAGAGGGAAGGCACTCAGCTGCTTCCTCTGAGCTCGCTGGTTGTGTGAGGATGATTAGTGTATTACAGCCAAGCGTTTCTCTAAGTGAGTAGCCAGAGCTGCTCCTGCCACTGGGGGTGGGGGAATGGGTAGCTGTGTGAGCTGATGGAGATGTTAGTTTGTTCCAGTGTATCAGCCACTTAACTATATACGCACCCATTAACGTCATACGATAGACCTTAAATGTACACAGTGAAATGTGTTCAGACCAATTGATGTAATTTACCTGTTATGTAAAGGTTATATTTAATCCTCCTCAACTCCCCTCTGAATAAGTATGATAATCAAACCAAAGCTTTCAGACAATCTAAGTCACCAGGAGACACTAGAGTGACACCCGGGACGGAAGGGTGCTGCTACACCACAGGGCTTGAGCAACACTGTGACCTCAGCAAGTTTCTTGTGTCTCTGCAGCTCAGTGTCCTTTATCTGCAAAGTAACGAGAGCAGACCACGCGACACTTACGTCACTCCGGGTCTGAAGTGTGCAGATTCTGTATCTAGGTAACCAGATATGTGTGTAGGATAGAACCAGAGGTACTGGGGTAGCGTGTCAGAGAGAAAGCTGTTTTCTGGTTGCATACGGTATAGCTAATTTGGAATCAATAGTATATGTTGTTTTATTTGTTTTCTCATAAGTTTTGTAAGACATGACTCTTGGAGTGGATTTAGTAGGAAATAAATACAATTCGTAGATGACTGTGGTCCTTCTATGCATTTGATATTTCTAGTAAACTACTCAGATCTGGGCTGTCCATGTTGAACACATCTAGGTATTCGAATGCACATCCATCCATGTTGCCTGGGGTGGATGCTTCCTTGTTTGTTTTTTTCTCTTCTAGTTTAAAACTGAGGACCAAATGTAACTTATTTATAATGGATAGTTAGAAAGTACACTTTGCTTCACACTATAAATGTATTCCTGAAAAAAAAGCTGATATTTTGCTCAAGAGCGCCTGCTATTTATAGGAATTACTTTATGGCTTAACACAATGTTGCTAAAATAAACATGTCATCTATTCTTGTAAATTTGTATTTTTCTCTCATTTGATCTGTCATTATCCACTGTCTTGTGTTCCATCTTCCTAGGGTCACCCTTTCCTTTAATATCCAAACAAAGCAGTTTAAGTTCTCTGTAGCTTTTACAATAGAAAAGCCATGACTTCTCCCAAGATTCTAAGATAGCATTGCCCAATAGGAATATGGGGCAAAGCTCTGTGTGTAATTCCAAATATTTTAATAACTATGCTAAAAGTGAAAAGGATGATATATCTTATTTAACCCTATGTATCTAAAATATTATCTCAATATGTGATTAATATAAAATATTGAGATATTTGACTTTTTCATACGTAACACATCTTGATTTGAGCTGGTTGCATTTCAGGTGCTCAGTAACCAATATGGGCTGTGGCTACCATATTGGATGCACAGTGTCAATGAGGTTTGCATTCATATGCTCTCCTGTAGGTAACCTCGTTGGTCTCTCATTGTACCCCGGAGAGAAATGGCGGTTGGTATGAGAAAAATAGAGATAAGAGACAAGAGCTGGGGTCAGGTGGAGTTACCTCTTGCCTGATGAGCACGAGGACTGGCTTCAACAGTAGGGGCGTTTGTTTTATACATTTGCAAAGTTAGTATCATGAGAGATAATGTTGCCTAGCAACTAACGACTATACTTGTCCAGGCGGGATGCCTTTTTCAATTCTGAGGCAGCTTGATGCCTGAGGCACTCTGGCTGTGTCCTGCCCTCACACATATGACCAATATCCAGCTCCAGCAGCTCCCAACACTCTCCTGTCCATTCTTGCACTAAATTTCTGGTCTTCCCTTGTGAGTTCTAAACCTTTTTCATTGTTTCATCCTATACTGGACATCATTCCCTTCCTCCACTTCCCAAAGTATCACTAACACCAGGCATCTGTTTTCAGCAGACTTTACTGAACGCCTGGAGTAATGCAGAGAAAGTATAGAATGGAGTAGCATGGCTTAGGCAACAACTGCTTTAATATTTTCCTTGCCATCTGCAATGAAAGAAATTTCTCATTGGCCAGTCCTCTCCCCTCCCTGCTTCCTTCCTTCCTTTTTTCCTTCTTTCCTCCTTCCTTCCTTCTTCCTTTTTTTCTTCCCCTCCCCCTCCTCTCTCCTTCCTTCCTTCCTTTTAGTTAAAAGACTCATTTTCAGACAGGTTTACAGAAACATTGAGCAGAAAGTACAGGCCAGGGCCATTTTTCATACTTGTTCTGAACTTTCTATGCCCCCCGTCTTGGTTTTCTTTTTCCTCCTCCATAAAGAGTCTTTTCCCTCCATCCCAGTTGCTCAATCAGATCAGGACTGAGTTCCTTAAGACCCCCACTTTGTAAGTCAATCAGGACGGTTTTCCAGGAGGACCTGCAGTCTCCTCTCTGATAAGGCTTTTTCCTTCTAGTCTGCATAATCCTGACTGAAGCCTAACCCTCAAACAACAGTTCCTTTTCTTCCTGAGACAGCTGAAGTGGAGTTGTGATCTGCAGACAGGGAGTGAGTTTATGTACTGGAACAAAGGCTTCTGAGTGAGGCATGCACACCGAAACAAGCTTGGCTTTGGGTCAGGAGCTGGCAGAGTACGCAGGAGCATCTTCACATGCCAACTGTGATTCCCCCTGGAATCCTCTCCCCTGCTGCCCTTCACATATACGCTGTGTTGAGAGCCTTATAGCTTGACTGGGCAGTGGTTTTGTTTTGCAATTAAAATGAAAGGTCTAAAATATGAATATCTGTAGCAGTAAAAACCAAGGATGAATGCTTTTTTTAAAAAAAAAAATATGCCTTGAAAGAAGGAACAAAGAGGACACTGAACATTTTATTTGAAAGCTAAATATGAAGAAAAAGGGGACATATTCCTGTGGAGGAATAAGAGACTATGCATATGCTTAAATCAACTGGTAGTCTCTACAACTTCCTAGTTAGGTGTAATAGGTAGCTAGTTAGTTAGCTGTAATAAGATCAGGCAGGGTGGGTGAGCAGGAATTTTGCTGGTGAACCCATCTCACTTCCTGAAATGCCCAACATCTTGGGATATGATGGTCTGAGAATTATCCATCCATTTACTAAACATTAGTTGAATGTACATACACTCCATACAGGTTGTCATCTATTTGCAGAAGATTAAAAGGGATAATATACCATGTTTGCATTCAAAGAACTCAGGAGCTATTTGAAAACACACATAAATAAGGAACACTTATGATACTGAGAGTAATATGACTGAGATGGGGAGATGTAGAGAATGCAGAGTGGAGACTGGGAGAACCACAAAGGAGATGACGTGGTCCACTAGGTAGAAATAATGTAAGGTGGTAGTCAGTGTAATAGAAAATAGACAGATGTAAGTCGCTTAAAATGGGTAGGATTTGGTGACTAACAATAGGAAGAGTGATGCAGGTTTCCAGTTGGACTGCTTGGGTGGGTGCATGGAGTCACCACCAGCTAAAATACAGGAACACTTGCTCAGGTAGTGCTGGGTGAGAGATAATGAGGTCAATTTGGTTAAGTCACACTCTGCATCGAGGATTCGGGAGATCTGGCACTCCAGAGGTACTGACCTGTGCTTGGAAGGATTTCCAAATCTTTGGCACCTGGATGGTAACTGAAGCTATACGGTTGTGTGTGAAATTTCCCAGGGCCACAGTGAGAGGCAGAAGCTGAATACTAAGGAATGTATTAGTATCTGAATGAGGTAAAACCATCTATCACGTTGGAAAATGTACCCATCTGGGAATAAGAGGAAGAAAGTGGTTTAATTGATAGGTGGATTCTGTAATTAAATGAGATCACAAAAGCTTCTGTTATTTCTTATAATAGCCTAGTGGGAGTAGAACGTGACTACAGGATGCTGGGTGGAGGTGTTCTGACTTCAGTTCT